CAGTTGATTTACTTAGGCGGGTCATCTCTAATGCTAGCTTCATAAAAATGTGCATCTTAATTGTATCTCCCAAAGATAACTCAGCAGCCCCCCCCCCCCTTATGGGTAACAGCACAAGAATGAGCCCTTGTCTGTACTGTGACTCTGGGGGTGAGGCAGGCTACACATCCCCTCCCACCGCTGAGGCCACCCCCAGGCCCCTAATCACCCCCTAACTGTTGGAGACCATTCGAAAAGAGCCCTCAACTGTGTACTCTTCAGGGCCTGTTGCGGGCCTATCCTCAGAGGTCTCTATCGATGCATGCCTTCCTATGTGAGCGCCAGCTGCCCCACCCAGAACCCCAGACTCAGGCACTTCCCAGAGAGATAGACCACAGAAGCCAAGCTTCCTGTTCATCCTGTGGCTAAGGACACAGAGTGGCCTCTCAGTGTTCTCTCCCTTGGCTGCCAAAATTGAGTCTTCTCAGTCCTGTCCCCTGGATTTCTGCAACTCCACCTCCCCCCTCCAGCATGGATGCCTGTCCTCCTAGTGCCTGCAGGTGAATGTCTGGCTATTTGAAAGGCTCTGTGGCCCTGACTGGGGCTGTTTCTAAACTTGCTCGTTAAGTTCGTGCCCATATACCAGACCCAAGGTGCAGCGATCTAGCACCCCTGTTCTGGGAATTAGCCCTGCAATACCATGGGCCACTGGCGCATCTTGTTATCAAAGCACAGTGTAGAAGAATGCAGTGCTGGAAGGAGCACATGCCGTGGCCGACCCTGTGTTCCCCGGGCAGCAGGTTTCTCCCACGGTAATCTTCTGCCACAGACACTTAGCTTAGTGCGTCCTCACATGCCCAGTGTGCACCATTTTATGGATGGGCAAACTAAGGCTCACGGCGCTCAGATGGGTACACATTAGCCCTGTTGGCCTCTGCATGCTGCTCTTTGCCCCTTTCTAGGCTGTTGGTGTCTTTGTCAAGATTTTTTAACAGCCACCCATCTGTCAGACTCTCCCTTAGGATCCCTTGCCCTGTGCTGAGTTCTGGACAAGGACAAAGGCATCCCTGCTGACCCTGCTGCCACAGTAGCCTCCCTCTTAACAGGGGTGTGATCTTGACAGCATCCTCTTTATTATTTGCTGGGACTGAGTGATTCCTATGGTGTGTCCTCAGGACCTGCAGAGTCGCGTGTTTCTCTTATAAAAACAAACCATCACACAGAGAGGCAAAGGCAGCATCTGGCTGGACAAGCAGTCCAAAAAATAACCTGAACACGGCATCAAGGAGCCCATGAAGGGAGAACTAGCTTGTGCTTGGCAAGACTAAGACCAGCAGAGCATGAAATATGGAGGGCCCTTGGGTGGTCCAGTAAGGGCAGAAAGGGGAATCGGACCTAAGGAGGAGGAGGCCTCACTGGAGGAAGACAGTCAGCCATGTCCCCAGTGGGAAGATGTAGAGAGGAGGTTCACTAAGATGGTGAAGTTGGAACCAGGGGCGTTCAAAAGTGAAATGAAAAACCCGGGATAAACTGAGCAGGCTCAAGGTGGTGGTTTCTTCTGGCTTCAGGATGGAGAACCTGGGTGAGGACAGCGGGGCAGATGCTGAGCTTGCTCAGGAGTAAATGAGATGTACTCAGGTGTCGGCCAGATTCAAGGATGAGCCCTGGGGAGAGGGCTGGGCTGGGACAAGGATGAGGTTTACCAGCAGGGTAGAAATGGAGGCTGTGGGATCACACTCTGGGGGAACAGAGTTGATAGCGGGGGACCTTGAGAAGTAAAGAGAGCTGGCTACATGGTTTATCCCAAACTTCAGCTGTAAGAAAACAAGAGGTGACACACACCTTTAATCCCAGCACTCGGGAGGCAGAGGTAGGTGGATTTCTGTGAGTTTGAGGCCAGCCTGGTCTACAGAGCGAGTTCCAGAACAGCCAGGGCTACAAAGAGAAACCCTGTCTGGAAAAACAAAACAGACAAGCTGGTGCTGAGAGACCTGTCAAGGTGCTAAGAGATGTTACGAACAAATTTTGACATGAAAAACATACTGGCCAGCTCAAAAAGTTTTGGAATGGAATGAGGCAACATATCTGTTGACCAGTTTGAAAACTACAAGGTAAAGGGAGACAAAAAGAACATTAATGATAGAGCCACAGAGGAAAGGTTGTCGCCAGAAGACAGTTGTCATTAGAACTGTCTGAGGGCATCAAATGAGAAGGAAGGTGAGGAGTGGACGTCATCTGGGGGTGGGCGCCTCTAGGCTCACAGCCATTCATATCCCGCCACAGGTGAGAGGACACACCTTTCCACTGATGACCTTCCCTTCCCAGAAGGCTCCTCTGGCCACCAAGACAAACATATCCACAAATGCAACACAAATGACTCACAGGTCAGAATAGGGAGGCTGGAACTGTGTCAGAAGATCAGTGTCTCTGTGACTGGGAAGCTGGGGACCACCACTCTGGCAGAACCATGAAAGAGACCTTGAGCACCCCAGGATGGGGCATAAGAGAGACTGCCTTGTCCCCAACAGACGCGGATGGAGTCAGTGTGCCCTTACTCTCAGCAAGCACTGGCTCAGTATTTTCCTGCACAGGTTGGGCTCGGTTAAGACTGGAGCAGAAGTGGGAGAAACCTGCCCTGGTTGGGGTCCCCCGCTAAAGCAGCCCCTTAGTCAAGTCTCACTTTTAAGGGGAGAAGCACAGGCAAAACAGCTGCTGCCCCTGAGGACAGAAAGCCCCGTCCGCACCAGACACTCAGATGATCTTCAGAGAACTCTGAATTCACTAGCACTGGCTTTTAGATAGAGAACAAAAAGTCGACACTGAGTGTCTCCAGCTCCATCGAAGATAATGTGGAATGACCAAATTACCATGGTCTAAAACCTCCAACTGCATCCAAATTAGCTGAAATAATCACGATTCGCTTTAATTAGTGACTGGAGTTGAAGCCAAGAGCTGGTGGGCAGAGAGCCTGGCATGGCAGCTGCTGACAACAGGAGGGGGACACCAGTGAAGCTGGAGGTCTCAGTGACTGAGTGTGGCCTTTGGCCTGGGGATCTGAAGAGCCCGTATGCTGGCCTGAACTCATGTTCTACTCTGGTCTCTGCCGTGTGTGAATAGAGATGGGGCTTGTCTCCTTCCATCCCTTGTCACAGCGACCACCACCACCATCATGGTCACCACGTGCAGTACAAGAGGCTTTGAATCCATCCCATCTGGACTTTTCCATACTGGGTCACACCCACCCCACTATACAGATAGGTAAATGGGACTCAGATGACTTAGCCTGAACCCATGGGTTTCCTGTGCTTGACCTGGGGGCCATAAGTTCAGGTCCATGAAAAGCTTTGTCTGGCTCCAAAATCACCCCATCAAGGGAGCGAGGATTCCCAAGGAATAAGGGTTGGTAGGGGCTATGGCCCATTTAGTCATGAGGTTTGGGGCAGCTGGTGTGTAGTCCTCAGGCAGAGCTGAGGATGCCTACCTTGAGAAACAGAGCTCCCTTAGAGGCTAGGGCATCGAAGCTGCACCCATTGGGGTAACAGTGATAGGCCACGTCCATGACAGGGTAGCGGCTGGCAAAGAAGAGACCACTGTTGAGACACTTGAAATTGCAGCAACCATGGCAGCCGTAGACCCCAACATCATACAGGATGTACTCGAAGTAGCCGTGTAGCTGCTCTTTCAACTTAGCAGCTGCACGCTTGTCAAACACCTCCTGCAGGCACAGGAAGTCCAGATTGGCCGGGAAGAAGGCCGAGACCTCGTGGTCAAAGGCTTCATCGGGGTGCCGCCTCCTGCGGGCCGCTGCCTTCTTCACCACTGACGTCTTATACAAGAGCTTGCTGTTGACTCCCGGCTCTCCACTGCCACCGCCATCTTGCCCTGCCCGGGCCTTCACCAGGGACTCCCTGGAGGCGGAGGGGCTGCCTAGGCTCCCAGAATCCCCATCTCGCTGATTGTGGTTGGGCGTCTGGCCCTTTGGGGCCCCGCCAGCCCCATTCCTGGCTTGGCTCCCAGTAGCTGGGTCGTCAGCTTCCGGTGGCCGGCCTCCTTCATCGCTACCAATTCGCACAATGCAGCTGTCCTCAAGGCTGCCGTCAGCCGGGTCCCCAGAGGCTGGGCCATTGGCAGCCTCGTCATTGGGGTGACGCCCACCATCCCCCTTGTATTCCACAGAGGCTGTCCTCTTAATGCTACCAGGGACAGCTCTGGCTCCATCACTGCCCTGCGGAGACACAAGGCTGCTGAAGCTGGCTGCGCTGATGGAAGTGTTGGTGGGAGAATCAATGTAGATTTTGATCTGAGGCCGGGCGGCCCCATTGCGGATTCTCTGCCCAATCTCTTTGGCCCGTGCTTGGGTGTTGAAAACATTGTTGAGCCTCGCGAGCGAGTCGGGGAGGAGGCAGACATTGGCTGAAGCAAAGCAAAAGCTTTTGCCTCCCCCTGTGCCCTTCCATTCACTGAGCAGGGCTGCCCCACCAGCTGGGCTCTTGTCCTCTAGGCGGGAGTAGGAGTAGGGCCGGCGGGCAGACTGCAGTGGAGACCAGAAGATGAACCCAAGAAAGGCAAAAGGCAATGCAGCCACCAGCAGAGCCAGGTAGACTGGCGTGAAGAGTACCGTGCAGAACAGCTGCAAGCAGCAAGGGTCATCTGCCCTCTGGCGCTTCTCGTAGGTGGTCGGTATGAAGGAGGCCACCAGCCGGTCCACCAGCCAGTAACATGGGAAGATGAGGGCCCAGGACACAGCGTGGAGGGCAGACAGACAGCTATTAGGAAAGGGAGTCGTGTACAAAACCATCGCAGCTCACTGGGCGCCGCAGCCGGCCCTACTACATGATGTCCCTGGCAGCTGCAGCTCTTTCCCAGGCAGGGGTGGGCAAGCTGGGGGCAGATGGAGGATGGGTCACCTCCTGGCAAGGTGTGACTCTGGATAGTCAGCGGTGAGTGTCCTGCAGATATTCATGGTTCGCCTCAAGAGGCCATGCTTGGACACCAAAGCCTGTTGAGAACCTGTAGAAACAGGGAGGGAGGCCGTTACTAAATTAGACTGCTCTAAAGCCAGGGAATTGGTTTTACATGAGTGTTTGGGGTCAGAAGAATTCCCCGGCACATTCCATTTGCCTATACATTTTTTTCTTGAATATACAGCTTTGTATACGGTTTTGCCTAACTGGCGCTCTTGATTCTATAACTTAATTGCTTAAGAAATGGCCCCTGTTTACAGAAGGGCATGGCTTTAGCGGTAGGAAGGGGTGTGCCAGGACTGACACTGCTAGAAGCAAGTGAAGCCCTTTGGGACCCAGGGGTGCGCTTCAAATGCGCAGGCAGCAGCCTTGGCTAGAGGAGCTGCAAACATGTTCACTTTTATCTAGGGCCAAGTAGGCCAGGAAAGACAAAAGGGGTCAAACGTTACAGGGCAGAGGGCAGTGTGTCTAGCAGGGCAGAAGAGCAGGGAAACCTCGTTCACATGCAGCCTACTCCGACCATGGTTCAGCTTCCTGAGCAACAGACCATGTTCTACCCCACGGTGCCCCAGCAGGACTCTAGCCAGGGTCGGGAACCCAGGCATAGACCGGTTCACTAACTTTCAGAATGAACAGTTTACCAAGTTACCGTCAATCCCCTGGACACTTGGAGAGGCTCCCTGGGGCAGTGTGGGTCTAGGTCAGAGCTTTAGAGTTCTCCGGCTTGTCCACGATGTTGGCAGAGCCAACAGCCACCTAAGTACGTCCATCCTGGGTCCCTGCCCCACCGCCCTGAGTCACAGTACTTCTCAGAGCGGCCTGACCACACCCAGGCAGGTGCACTGACTGTGCTCATTGCCCAGTCAATAAAGACAAGAGTCTCGTGTTTACCCAGCCGCCAGGGACCCACACTGCTTATTCTGAGGGGAAAATCCTGCATGTATGATCTGCATTTTGGTTTCTAAGCCAAACACAGAAGGGCAGTGTTTGCTTCTCTCAGTGACCTACACCCTTCTGTCCCTGACACCTCAGTAGGACCCAGGCTGCCACCATTCATCCTGGCCCCACAACCCTCCTCCCTCCTGAGACCTCGGTCACCCAACTAGAGACCAAGATATCATTCATACTATCCTCTCTGTGCCCCGGATGAATCCTGTCAGAATAGGCTGAGAACTATGTTACAGTTCATCAACATTATCGGCCTCCACCTACATGGTGGCTGGAAGGACACTTCCTCCGCCAGTCCACAGGCTCTGCAGCCTGGCCACCTACTACGCCCACCTTCTCCCCACTCTGACAGTGGCACCAGGACCTCACCGTGAGGATCTGCCATAGCTCTGTGTCCTGCTCCCTCACCCTCTCCACAGCTCAGTTTAGACACCAGCCTTCTAGAGATGATTCTTCACCTCCTTGCCCAGGTAGCTTCCACTGGGGGTGTCTGTCCCCCAGAACAGTGGCATGGCCTTTGCAGTTTGTGTTACTTATACTTTGGGATATGCCTACCTCCCCAGAAGATAAGGGGCTTCGATAGGGAAGGGGCTACACAAAGGTTCCAGGAAGGCTCAAGGCAAAAGTGCCTCAGAGATGGGATAGATCAACAGAGGCGGGTCATGATGCCAGTGCGAGTGGAGGCAGCCATTTCCTCCAGCTTGTTCCTCTGATGAACAAGAAGCACAAAGATTTTACTTTTCTCAAGAGAAGTCACTTTGAAGCTAACACTGGAAGGCCACAGTTTCTACATGAGCACAGCCAAGTGACTTCTCAGTGGAGCCCCAGCCGGGTCTGAGGACACAGTAACCTCTCACACCTGCTGCCTGGCTTGGGCAGTGGCAGAGCAGCGCGCTTGTTTACTACCCCAGCTGCTCACCAGAGGGAGGACTCCAGCTCGGAGCCCGAGTCACAGCTCACTCCTTGTCACACTTGACTGGCTGTGCTCAGCCAGTTTCTGGCCCTCAACGAGGAGCTGGCAGAAGCCCTCCAGGCTAGAGGGAGAAATACAGGATCCGGAGCTGCCTGTCTATGCCAGTCCATCTCTGCCAGACCCACTGGGACCGGGGCAGACCCTGCAGGGGCAATGGGCAGTGGGATGAGGTCTCCTGAGGCATTCCAGTGGTCCTTGAGTTCAGCAAGGACCAGGGGAGGGCCCCAGCTACACTCCTTGGGCCGCTCGAATGTCATCGCAGAGTCTTGAGCAGACCACTTCCCAGTCTCCCTTCCTCTTCCCCTCATCACTGCTGTCTGCGATCACAAGTGCTCCTCACATTGTGTAGTACCCAGAAGGACCCACTTAGCATCTCTCTTCTTTATTCCCTCTCCCTTCCTCTCTCCCTCCACTGACCCCATTGTTTGGGGAGACAAAGCCCAGACTCATAATTTCTGTCTGGGCCCCTTATGTTTGTGTCTTTTTGCTCCCTCCCCCCCTACCCCGGCTTCAGCCACAGTCTCCTTTCCAGCTGCAGCTGCTGCCAGCCAGACCCCTCTGCACCTGCTTGTGGCTGTTTCCTGCACCCCTTCCTGACTCCTGCCATCCCCTCTTCCCTCTGTACCCTTCAGAGCTCAATTGAGACGTCTCTCCTTCAGGGGACTCTTCCTTGATCCTGTCCCTACACCAGACTGTCGCTGGCCTGGAGCTGTTTCTAGGATTCTGTCCAGCAGAAGCTCCATAAAGTCTGTCTGAGGCCAAGCCATGGCTGTTGGCCACCCTGTTTGGGGAGGGAAGTAACAGATGCAGAAACAAACCATTGAGGAATAAACAGTCTGCTGATTTGAGTGCCCATTCAGGTTGGGAAGCTCTTGTGAAATCAGTCTCTCTGTGGTCAGGGTCAGGTCTGACCCGTGGGCAGTAATGTGGGCTCCATGGATGACATATGGGGGGGAAAGTACCAGGGAGGAGGCATGCTTGCACCGCTGAGAGCCACTGTGGTGTCCACAACATCCCTGTGAGCCAGGCTTCCCTTCACCAAAGGCTTCCTGGGAAAATTACCCATTCTGTCGTCCCCTGTGGCTCAACCCTGATGTTGATTGATCACATTGGGATTAGCTGTTGGCTGGGATGGGACTTTAGGGGACAAGGAGAGAGAATCCATCTTCAGCTGCCCCCACTCTTGTGACCCCAGAAACCCTTCTGGCAAAGTCTCTAGTTTGCAGTGATCTTTGTGCCTGCCCTGGGCAGGCATGGACATATTTTTGGTCTCTGCTGTAGGGCTGGTGGAGGGGAGGGTCTGGGGTGGCAGCTCCAGGGGTGAGTGGAAGCTGTGCCCCTCTAAGACGAGGCAGCTTGGAGTCCCTTGGCCCCTCATGGTGCCACTGCAGATCCTTCCTGGCTACCCCGGGCCTCCTCTTCAGCAGTGCCTGCACAGGAGGACTCTGCTGGGTGCTGCCACTGCCATGCCCTGACTGGCTCCCTTGTCTACACATGGAAGCTGCTGCTACAACAGACACAGAAGGACTGCCATGGACGAGGCTGCTTCTAAAGCTCGGGATAATTATTTTGTCTCGGGGAAATGGAAGGAGGGTAAACAAACAGCGCACACTAATCAGTCTCATCTACACTCTCCTCATGAAAGAGAAGCACTGCAGTTCAACATGAGAGGCTGGTAGCTTCCCGGAGTTTTCAAATGCTCAGCCGAGTGACCACGGAGGGGTGTGGCTTCCCCAGGCTTGGACAGCATAGGCAGGGGCTCAGCTGCACCCTTTCTCTTGTCTGCACTGTCTAGATGGGGTCAGGCATGTGTCTGGCTTTGGACATGGGACCCCATTGTCCCTGTCATTCCTTCTCTTTTTTCCATGTCCTTGATCTTGAGCTTTGCAAGCAAGGTCTGTCATGAACACTAGTAAAGGGTTAGCAGGTCCCTCCAAGGCTATGCATGCTGACCTTCTGCACCTCAACCTCTTAGATTAGGAGGATCGTTCAAGGTTTCTCATGTTAGGACCACAGACGCCCTTTGTGTAGTTTCCAGGATTACTAGAAGTCACATCTCTTCCCCTCCATACCATGGTTGAAATAGCTGAGCTGGGGTCCTGAGTACTCTCAGGTCCTCAGGGATCCTAACAGACTCCTGATCTCTTCATTATGAGTTGTGGAGTTAATGACTGGGAGCTATATGGTGCCCCAAGGCAGGACTCCTGGGAGCCAGCCTCTCCCCTAGATGTCCAGACCAGGCTTTCTCTTCTCACCTGCGATTCATGGTCTTACACTCAGCCTGGGAGGCAGGCTAGCCTGAAAGATATCCTGGCACTGATCACGGCCTAGGGTATCAGTGCCTACCTCTGGTCTTCCTATGAGGTCTAGAGGGGGGCAGGCTGTAACCTGATCATCTCTGCTTCCTTTGCTCCATTTTCTGAGCTACCCCATGTGCCGTCTTCTCTCCCCAGCTTGTGGGTTTCACATCATTAGGGGTGGACCTGAGCCCACCCACAGAACTTCCAGGATCCTGACTAAACCAGGGTGCCCTCTGGATCCTCACAGATGCCCTCACACTGTTAGGGCCAAAGCCAAAGCCTCCACCAACTTCCTCTCTCCTCTGCAGTGATGATTGGGCTGGTCTGTGCATGATCAGAGGGGACGGAGGGCTCTGTGGGTCACAGACTGATGCAGGTGGAAGAGAAACTTGGCCCAGGGATGTTTGGGAACCCAGAAAACCTTTAGTCCGTGTGGAAGAGGAAAAGGTGGACAACTCCTCTGCAAGACCTCAAGAACATAGTCCCAGGCATTTGTGGGTAGCCCAAGGCATCAATAGCAAGCTGCTTCTGTATGGCCATGCAAGTTAACCTGAAGGCCCCTGACTCCTAATCAGTAACCTGTGTGACCACAGCATGGGGAGTGAGAGGAATCCTTAGGAATGGTCCCGTCTGGGCAGACTGTAGGAAGCATGACTGTCTCACTGAGCATCAAATGACCAGGATTGCCAGACCTGAGAGATGGACCTAGCTGGCAAGCTGATTCAGAGGACACAGCTTCACAGAAGCTCCAAGGGTCCTGTGTGGATGTTGACTTTGAATCTGAATTTCTCCTGCAGTGGGAAGGTAAGGAAGCCACCAGTATTCCTGACCCCTGTGTGGAAACCTGTACATCTCTGAGGGCTCTCTGAACTTTGGAGGGCTAGTAATTGCTCCATATGGCATTGTCTGGGGCTTGTCCCTCCTTTACTGCCCTGTCCTCTGACCCTCAGGCCTGCTGAGCTCTCTCTTTCCCACTATGAGCATGGACTCTTGGAGTAAATGTCCTCCAAGTCTGTGAGTCTAACCAGGAGCTGCATCAAGCTCTAGGTTTCCACAGGAAGGCCTGTGGATTGCTCCAATCCAATTATCTGAATGTGTCTGCATTCACCAGCGCCTGTGAGATCAGGCCAGCCCATTCTGCCTAGATGCTGCCGCGGAGGAGTTGGCATGGCAACGTGTGCTCTGAGCTGCTTAAACTTGGAGTCAGCTCATCGCTAGGAGGACAGAAAGACTGACAAGAGACAGATGCTTTTCTGAGATGGGGAGGGGTTGAAAGAGCCATATCCTAGATAGAGTTGGGGTTTAGAGTCTGCCATAAATATACAGACTGTAGCAGTAACACCCCCCAGACACAGGTAAATGCCTGTTCCTATTTCTCCATCCGAAGCAGTCCAGCTCCACCGACATCCTCCTGCTAGCTTCACTTCTCTGGCAGTGGCAGACACACTGCCCTGCTCCACTCCAAGGTGATGTAGCAGCCAGCCACAGCAAGCAGCGCCTCAGTCCCTGACAGCACTGGGACCATTCTGAGTGTTCCCTGGAACTCCGATCAGACCACTTAGGAAAGAAGTCTACATTTTCTCTGAGATGGAAAACCACAATGAGAGCCTGCAGTTTCTAGAGCCTTCCTTGAGAATGAGTCCAGCTCAGGGGAAAACAGACCTAGGCTAGAACAGAGAGGCCAAGTCTTCATAACATGTTGCAGCCCTGATCTTCTGCCCAAAGCTACAGCCTGTAGCCCTCGTTTGTGAGCCAGACAGTCCCTTTGCTTTGCTCTAGTCGCTTTGGAGTGTTTATCACTTACCACTGAAGAGGCTTTGTTTTTTTCTGTGCATACCAGGTCTGCGATCTTTCTAAAGCTAAGTGTTCCTCAGATGTGCAGAACTCCTGAGCTGCCCGCAGCTGTGCCCTGGCAAAGAGTAGAGCCATCCCCCTGAGTCAGGGCCTGCAGGTCTGCGGGCCTCAAGGCAGCCCTTGGAGATAGTGATCTGAGCAGACAGAAGTTGCAATCACAAGTTCTGAGCACAGGTATGTGGCGTAACGGGTCCTGATGGATACGATTGTCTTGTATTAATGCTCTAAGCCTTAGTTTCCTTTGTATTAGATATGGATGAAAATTCCTTGGGTTTATTCAGTGGTTCTCTACCTTCCTAATGCTGTGACCCTTAAATACAGTTCCTCATGTTGTGGTGACCCCTGACCATAAAATTATTTTCATTACTGTAATTTTGCTTCACAACTGTAATTTTGCTACTGATATTAATTATAATGTAAAATATGTTTTCTCGTGGTTTTAGGCGACCCCTGTGGAAGGGTCATTTGACCCCAAAGGGTCACTACCCCAGCTTGGGAACCGCTGGGCTAGTTGGAGATGACAGGCCCTTCAGCACTTAGTGCCAAGGCTGCCTTGTTTCTGTGTTATCATGAGAATCACTTCTACTGTGATCCCCCTACCTCAGAGGCCCCGAAAAGAGCTGGGCTGTAGTGCCTCCTTAGCATCTTTGAGGCCCTGAGTTTCATTCAAAGAATCAAAAAGGAAGGAAAGAAAGGGAGGGGAGGGGAGGAAAGGGAAGGAAAGTCTCTCTAGAGCCTTCAAAGTTTTCTCATGGGGCGGTTGGCCTTACAGAAGGGCACTGCTCTCCTGGATGATGGGACAAGGACACTGGGAGATGTACAGGTTTGCCTCCTGGCAGGGCTGCACCAGAGCCATCTGTCATGGGCTGCTCATATAAGCCAGAGTCATCGGGTTCTGTAGAAACCAAGTGCAGGCCAAGGGTCCATAAAATTTTCAAAAAGAAACTTTCCGTGGGAGCTATTAATTCATGATGTGGTTTCTGAGAATAGGATTGAGCTGGGAGCAGCTCTGAGTTGTTCTTTCCACCCGCCAGTCTGGCATTTCCATGGCAGAGTTCAGAAGGCCCAGAAGAAGCCAACCGGTGTGTGCTTGGAAAGCAAATCTCAAGTTAGGTCAGAGGAAGGGGTGCAAGGGTGCTCAGCCAATATGGCCACTCCAGTCTCTGCTGCTCACCCTTCCAGATTTTGCAATTGGTGATAAAGAACATTGCTAGGGAAACTGGGATGTAGTGGGGTCCTAAATCCTTGCCTAAGCCTCCCCTCATTCCCGTCATCCCTGATACTATGCTTAAGAACCTGCCTGGCCGGGCGATGGTGGCGCACGCCTTTAATCCCAGCACTCGGGAGGCAGAGGCAGGCGGATCTCTGTGAGTTCGAGACCAGCCTGGTCTACAGAGCTAGTGCCAGGACAGGCTCCAAAGCCACAGAGAAACCCTGTCTCGAAAAACCAATAAAAAAAAAAAAAAAAGAACCTGCCTGCACCAGCTGCATCTGATAAAGTTAGCTGAAGCAGAAGCCAGGGCTTCTACCAGTTCTGTGCTGTGGAGGCTGAGACCAGTTTAGCAGTGGAGACTTAGGGTTATGGCTTTCTCTGTGATGAGAATGGGTTCGGAGACCACTCTGATCACAGGCCTTTCACCACATGGGCGTCTGTGTGCAGAACTGAAGTGGACGTGATTCAGGGTAAACAACTGAACATATAGCCAGGCCTGAGCCTGTGCCCTCCAGAACTCTGAGACTGCTGGACACTGGAGTCTGAGTCCAAGTAGCTGCTCTTGGAACCCCCACAGACCATGTTATTGCCTCTGATAAGTTCTGAGGGATCTGATTTGTAAGAGGGACGGCTTAGCTGGTTAAGTGCTAAGGAAGTAGCACCAGCCCTAGGATGCCGCACCTAGAACCAGGGGTCTCTGCTTGGAGACAGTTACAAGAGGAGCCAGGGATCTCTCAGACCCTGTAGTTGAGGCCCCTGACACAAAAGCTGATACCAATAATTTGAGAGCCAGACAAACAGAAGAACAGCCTTTGCCTAAGAAGAAACAGCAACATGCTTTCTGTAGGAGGAGAAAGAAGTCCACACAAATGCTAGAATTTACGTAGACCTGTGTTCGGCTCAAGTTCAAGCATTGAATTTCTCCCTGGAACGGGTTAGCTGACTGAGCCGTGTACAGGCATGTCAGGCACTAGAGCGCACAGATGGAGACAGCAACTCTTTCTGAAGCAGAACAGACTTGCTGACATTCTTCTGATGGATTACTCCACATCCAGCCTGAAATTTTCTATGCAAGGAACATTTAACAAACTGTGTCCCAGAGAATATATGTGGAGATTAACCAGTGAGGGAATTAAATCAGTTATGCGGCACACCACCAACCATGCTACAGCCCTGGGCAGCTGAATCTGGGTTTTCTGGACTGAGGTGTCACTCCCTGCTAAGGGTCAGGGCCTTTTATCTTGGGTTCTGTCAAAGACTTCTGGGCCCCAGATTTCACCCCTGCAATGGGACTAACAAGACATCTTTAATTTTTAGGTAGTGTCTCATATATTCCAGTCTGGCTCTGAACTGACTGTGTATTGGAGGATGACCTTGAACTTCTGATCTTCCTGCCACCATCTCTCAGATGTGGGATTACAGGCATGAGGCACCACAGCCGGTTTATGTAACTATAGAGAGTGAACCAGGCTTTCGTGCGTGTTAGACTAGCAGTCCACCAACCAGGCTATATCCACAACCCCAGACAGCCGGCTTCTGGTGATAACCACAGCACTGGCCGTCCAGTCTTGACCAGCAGAGGAAGGTAAGATTTGCTTGATCCCAGAATGCAACCTTAATGAGTGAGGCTCTGGTTCCCAGGACTACAGTCAGATCTATTTCTGGAACCCACTTCCCTAATCTCCACTCCGATACTCATAGTAATGTTGCTGTGGTCCAGGCTAGGTCAGAGGCTCGCTTCTCCCCTCTTCACAAAGTCCACTGCTGGTGTTTGTACCCATACCTTCTGGGATCATGAGGCACTGGGACTTTTGAGCATTAATCTTTTCATTTTCAGTGGAAACTTTCTGCTCAGGGAGAAACAGTTTGATACCAGCGGACAGTCCACCCATAGACACAGAGAAGAAAGCCCATCTGAATGGGCAGAAACCTCTAATCTCTGTGAGGGGTCAGTGTGACAGGCTGAACTAGGGACTACCAGGTCCTGTAGAAGACAGGCAGGAGGCAGAACCAGGTCTTCCCAGGTGGACACATGTTGAGACAGAGCCAAGAGTCTATGCTTCATGCTTGGAATCAGAGCCGAGATGTAGGGTGTGGTCAGATAGATACTATGGAGTCAGTTCTATTGGACAGCAGACAGGGCCAGGGCAGAGAACTTAAACAGGGAACTTGGATGTCAGGAAGTCAGTATGATTTATTGCGGGTATTTCTGTAAGGGCAGGAGAAACACTGGTGACCATGCATGGACTGCGGGTGCAGGTGTCCTCTAAAGGGTGTGGGGACAAGGGGGTTGGCTATTGGATAAGTAGAGACATAGTCGGGAGCTGAGAGTGGACACAGAGGGATGGAACCACTCAGGAAGTCCTGCCTGCCAAGGCCAGCCACCCCCTTAGTGACCACAGTGACAGTTTACAGGCAAGAAGGAGACAAACACAGAGAGGAACATCTCTGTACTGTGAATATGAGAAGTGGCTGCTGGATTCAGTTTCCCCTAGGCGGTTTGTTTAGCTTAATTTATTTGCTATCTGTCTGTCTGTCTATCTATCTATCTATCTATCTATCTATCTATCTATCTATCTATCTATTTTTGAGACAGGATCTCTCTGTGTATCCCTGGTTGTCCTGGAATTCACTTTGTAGATTAGGCTAGTCTTGAATCATAGAGATCAGCCTGCCTCTGCCTCTTGAGTGCTAGTATTAAAGGTGTGAACCACCTTGCCTGGCTTATTTTTTTATTTATTTTATGTGTATGGGTATTTTGCCTGCATGTATATCTATATACAATATACATGCCTGGTACTCTTGGAGGTCAGAAGAGGCAATGGATCCTCTAGAACTGAGTTACAGATGGTTGTGAGCTGCCATGTGGGTGCTAGGAACTAAATGCAGGTCCTTTGGAAGAGTAACCAATGCTCTTAACTGCTGAGCCATCTCTCCAAGCCTGCTATTTAGTTTAAAGACACAGTGTCCAGATAGTACACCCACCGTGTATCTCAGGTCAGCCTACATAACCATTCACAGCATGCTGGTGGTATCTGGAACCTGCCCGCTGGCTGGCTGAGCGACCAAGTGACAGCTCAGCTTGAGGCTGTATTCCCACTCATAGAGAAAAGGTGGGCAGTGCACCTTGCTGGACTTGCTGGTAAGTTTTGCAGAGAAAGTCTCCATAATTATGTCAGCACTAATGAAAACACAGTTCGTGCAATTTTCATCAGAATTTCTTTAGGGAATAACCCCAAGAAGCTGGGTGTAGTGATATGCACAATCTCAAAACTGGAAAGTCTACGGCAGAAGGGTTCCAGGCTAGCCTCAGTTACAGAGTGTTGAGACCAGCAATAAAACTTAGGGCCAGGGGCTGGCGATGTGGCCCAGTGGCTGAGTGCTTAGCATGCTCAAGACGCTGGGTTCAATTCCCTGCACAGGAAGAAGGGAAAGGGAAGAAGGGAGAGAGGAAGAGAGGGATAGACTCAGGGCTTTCAGCTGCTTGGTTTCTAGCCCCCTACCTTCTGCCCCTGGTCCTCTGTCACCATGCTTCTCACCCTCTTCCTGCACTCAACTGTTTGTTCTCAAAGCTTTTTGATGCTGTTCCTCCCCTCACCTCCAGCCTTTTTTTTTTTTTTTTTTTTCCCCCAAGACAGGATTTCTCTGTGTAACAGTCCTGGCTATTCTGGAACTTGCTCTATAGACTAGGTTGACCTCAAACTCACTGAGATGCACCTACTTCTGCCTCAAAAAGTGCCAGGATTAAAGGCATGCACCACCACTACCCATCTCTCCCCAACCCCCTCAGGTGATTCCTCATGGGATATCTGTTCCTGAGTGACAGCCAGCCCAGATACCTCATGACTTTTGACCCGTGCAAGTTTTGAGTGACAAGTTCCCCTTCAGGTTCGTTATTCCTCTTCTACTTTTTCCAAACTCAGCTGTTGCTGAGCAGTGGGCCTCTTCCCTATCCCGCCTCCTCTCAGTAGCCTGCAGCCAAATCACCTCTGGAGCCAATCACCTCCCACCACAAACTACAGTAGCCTCTTTGACTCCCATACACCAGGCTCCTTCCTCTGCTCACCTGGCCACTGGTGGGCTCTTTCTAAACTACACAATAGACTACATTGCTTCTTCGTAAGCCCTTGGTGGCTCTTGCTGATGCTCCATCAACTTGGTTGGGGAGCAGGCTCTGCCCAGCAGCCTGGTTTCTATGTTTCCTACTTCTGGAGCCCCAAGAGCTCAGACCTGAGCAGTTTGCCATGGAACCTTTGCAGGGACAGTTGCCTTGGCCCGCATCTGTGCAGAAGAATGTGGCTTCAGCAGAGGAGCTCAGCTTCCAGAGCACAATAATGATCCTTCTGTTAAGTTTCAGCCAGTCCCACCCGAGATCACTGCAGCCCTTTGGCCTGTCCGAAACGGACACATGTCTTGGCAGTTGGTTGTCTTTCTGAGCACCAGAAAAGAAAGGTGACTAGCTCCTGTAACATAGATTTGACCAAATGGCTCTGGAAAGGAGCAGTCTTGAGAACAAGAGGACAAGAAAGATGGTGACATAGGACCAGGGCAAAGAGCAAGGAAATGGATTAAATAAGTAAAAGCTCTTATTGAATCTCCCTTCTCTCCCCTGCATTCTTTCTTCTTTCTATTCTTTTTTTTTTTCCCCCTGACTGGAGGCTCAAGCTATGTCAGCACCTCCCACACTTTAAGCCAGTGGGGTCTCCCATTCCTCCCAGAGAATGAGGGCACTGCTTTCTAACTCTGAGGCCCAAAGAGGGATAAGGCTGATAATACCTCCACTACCCATAGGCCCTCACGGGCTGATTTTACCATCTGCCCCTGAGCTGTGGCTAGAAGGGAGTAGGAAGCCTGCTCCCTGACTGACAGGCGGCAGCCTTGTGCACTAAGGACCTTGAACCACAGCCAGAATGGCTTCAGGAAGTCAGCTCCTGAGTCCACCTGCAGCCACTCAGGACCTCAGACTTCTTTCCTTTTACTTTCTTTCTCTCTGTATGCTGAGATGGGACACAGCCAAGAACGAGGGCACGGCAGAGACATGAGACAGACCGGGAATGAGCATAGAAATGCAGAAATCATTGACCTGCCTTTGGGGGCCACGTGGACAGTTGTTCTCGTCGCGAAGGGTACATTTGATACTTCACGGCCACCCCACATGGGTGCACTTGACCCCATTGTACATGTACAACGAGGAAACAGTGATTCGGGGGATAAATGGCAGATCCCGAGAGGTGGCAGTCGAGTCACGTGACTCCAGTTTCCCTTTTCTCTCTACTTTTCTCACAAAGGCTAAGTATAGATGATAAGCAGACATATTCAGAACCACCCAGCACCAGGCCCCCTTCCACCCAGCCTGAGTCCTGGGGAAGAACGGCACAGTTCCCACGCTGTCTGCCTTGTCCTTCATTGTCAGTGCCCACAGGGTAAGACCCCTGCTGTGTGTTAGCCTCCTAAAGGTTCCATTCACCACCTGCTGGGCCCCTGGTGTAGACTCCAGTGATCCTTCTCCCTTTCTGGGGGCCTGGCTTCATCATTTCTGCTTTTATCTTTTTCATACCGTCACCACTACCTTGGACCCTAAATCTTGCTCCTGGCCTGGCGACCTCCCTGGCAGCCCAGAACACACTTGTTTTGCAGTATTTTGGGGAGGGGGGGGTTCTTACAGTGGTCTTGGCTGAGGTTCTTGACTCTAGGGGGTTACTTTGTGTTCCTCTGCTTTACCCCTGGATTCTGAATGCTCAGTAGTTTGAATCCTTCCCCCGGTGTGATCAAAACGAAACTTTAAAGCTTCTGATGAATATTGCCAAACAGCTTTCTGCCAATGCCGCGCCAGTCCACCAGCTGTTTGAGAATGAGTATTTTGCAATGCCTTTGCCATTCTGGGTTTTAGAGGGGACAGCATTAGTCTTTAGAGTTTAGTGAGCAAAGTCATCTGGTCACACTGTCGGGACACTGTTACTCTCCCCTGAAATACTTTCCTCCGCGGCTTGGGCATGCAGCCACTCCCACTTTGTGCTGCCACCACCTTCCGCAGAACGGCAAGCCCACAATAGATTTCCTAGAGCCAATTTCAAACGCCTTTAGAGAACAGCATAGCTCTTTCTTAAATGATTTCATTCAGCACCTCTTTCGGTAAAAATATTAACACATAACCCATTGCTAGGCATGAATGTAAATTCCAGGTCAGCCTGGGCCACATACTAAGACCTCATCTGAAAACCCAAAACTAAAGAAAGCAAGGCATAATACAAAGCAAAACAAGTAAGTAGCCCATGAGAGGAAGCCTAGAGGTCCACTTCCTGTAGCTCCAGAAGTCTGGCTTACCTGAGCAGGGCCTTTGGGACCTTGTGTCCTCGTCTCTGGAGAAGAGCCGTCCAGGCAATCAGGACCTGAAAGGAGAGGAGCCATTCACAGAAGTGACTGGAACGAGACAGCCACACAGGTGAGACGGTACAAAGACCTCAGTGCTCCTCCTCACCTGGAGGCGCTGCCACACCCTCCCTGTCGCCAGGACTGGAGTTTGAGGTTTGGCTACTCTAGCAGAAGTGCAGCCAGAGGGGATGAGGGCGGGGTTTATGCAACAGA